GGGGGGGGGGGGGGGGGGGGAAGTTGATATGGCAAAGGACATGAGGGGGTAGATTTTGATACGCCGGGGGAATAAACATGCTTGTTGCTCCAGCTATGATACGGCCAACATATGCGATGCATTGTCGTCGTGATGCCAATGGAAGTGAGGGGAGTGGATGAGGGGGGCAGAGCGTCTCAGGGACCCATAACATCGACCAGTGTATGTATACTCCATTTGTCCCTAAACATCTCCCTTGTTTCCTATCTGACGGATCTCATCGTGTTTGCACTATCGTGCGCTGTGCATTACAATGCAGATGGGGAGGGGGGGGGGCTGATCGATCTTAATTGAGACTGTTGGACAAATTATGGTAATTTAATTCGGGATTTTGGGAGGAGAAGTTGGAGATTGCTGAGTGATTATTGAGGTGGAATTCGGATTAGGGGATTTGGGGGTTTTNCGGGATTTTGGGAGGGGAAGTTGGAGATTGCTGAGTGATTATTGAGGTGGAATTCGGATTAGGGGATTTGGGGGTTTTTAGCAGGGAAGAAGATGGGGATCATTGTTTTTGAGAGAATTGATATTTCATTGAGGTTTAAGGATGTTCAACCTATCAAGTGGACAACTCAGTTGAAAAGAAAAATAAACTTGACTAGAGAAATCATTCATGTTACAAATTATTTTTCTCATCAAATTAGAAGTGTTATGGCGTACTTTTCTGGTCTCACAAACAATAATTAAAGAAAGTGTTCATAAATGATGGAGGACTTGTGGCTGCGGTGGTAACAGTCGAATTTTGGTCGAGCAACATCGCACACTTTGGCTAGTAGTGGGGTTGTGACTGTGAGATGAATGTTTGTGTGTGTTATACGTGTCCGTATGCTTCCAGCACGGAATTATCGTCACCGACTTTACCGACCTCGTCAGCTGTTGTGCGGTGTTGTCGCGTTGCTCGTCTCGTAATGGCGGTCAATTTTTTTTTTAGAGGAATTCGAAAATCCATCGAAGATATCACGCCTATATGGCCCGGTACATGGAGAAAAAAATACATCGTAATTTTGTGAGAATCCTTCCAAAAATTAGTGTGCTGTTCACCAACGCTGGGACATAACAGGGAGTCATCGGAGAATTCGCATGTGGCACACTAATTTTTACGGGAATCCCCCGAAAAAGTGGCCGGAGTCCCACCAAAAATTAGGGTGCCATTTATGAATTTTTCGACGACCCCATGTTATGTCCCGGCGTTGGGGGACAGCACACTAATTTTTGGGAGATTTTTTTCTCAGTGTACCCTACTTGTTCTCGCCGGCGATAGATTCTCCATAGCCTAAAGTAAATGGCTTTTTTTTTTAAATATCTTGAGTGTCTAACCTATGCAACATCAAAGTTCACGATACTTCCCTACACGGAATATTCAAGAAAAATTACGAAACATTTCACTGAAACGTTCAGTAAATTTTCGGGTCTGTCACCGAAAAAATACGAAAAAGTCACGTAATTTTTCTGGAAGTTGTAATATCTAACAGAAACTTCAAGACTTATTATGCCTCAGAACACGAAAATTCTTGGTTGTGTAAGAATTTTTACGAAAAGTTCCAGAAAAATTACGGAACGTGTTGTTAAAATCTCCCCCTCACGGTGACTCATGGCTAGCCGTGAGGTGTCGGACGGATCAGTAATTTTTACGGAACAGATCGTAGAATTTACGTGACGATTGACACTTTTTATTGAATTTGCTTCGCTCCCAGATTACGTTTCGAAACGTAATTTTTACGTCTTTTTTCCGGTAATTTTTATTGAATATTTCTCTCCGTGTAAGCGTAATGTCACAAGAAGTGATTTTCAGACATTAATATTGTCACTAGGATGCCCCAATGGAAGGATTGAGATTATTACTAACGTGTGACTCAAAAATGAACGTGACATGAGACAGTATCAAAATTATGATGAATAATGTGGGTTTTGGCTAAACATCCTTAATCGGTTCGAGGCTAGGTATGGAGTGCATCGCTCTGGCGGATCACTCGATTGAAGGATCGAGTTGTTTACTTGTTCGAGTATTGGTCGAAAACTGGTTAAGAGGTGACGATTGCTCGATCGTCGATCGATTAACGATTGACAGACAATCGACCAATAATGGCCGATCGACTAACGGTTTCTCGAAAACATCCATTTTTGTTTCCGATTGAAAGCTTTGTGTATTGTTCAAATTTAAGTTCTCGATGTTCTGTGACAGGGTAACTAAATATGGTCTAAGAAGTCCGCATACGCGATTTTTAGATTGTGTCCGTATACACTGAGAAAAAAATTGATTCCTTCCAAGAAAATGTTATTGGTGATATCTTTTTCATACTCTTAGTAGAAGAAAATATCTCTTTTGGAACGTATTTCTCCAGGCCAGTCATTTCCAGGTGCTCCGAAATCAGTTCCAAGCGTAAGAATTATGGTGATTTATAAGAATATTCTTCTGCATATGACCTCGAAGAAACTCCAATAATAATTATTAACATTTGGAATTATTCCAATTTTCTTTACCTGAGAAAATCGCCAATTTGTAAAATCCGGAAGATATCGGAGAACATTTTGTCAAGGTCATATGTAGCATAATAATCAGATTGTTCAACATCACTGTAATTTTTGAGGATAGACTTGGACTCTCTGAAAATGACTGTCCTGGAAAAATTCGTTCTGAAAAAATATTATCTTCTGACGAGAATATCAATCCTTGGCAGGAATAATTTTTTCTCTCAGTGTATATCAGTAGCGAAGTGGTAAATTGGTTTAAGTCGAATTATCTCTTAGTTGAGTTTTTGGAGAATATCTCCGAATCTAAAGGAGACAAAATTTTCGTAATAACCTTGTTTGAAATGTAGCTATATATCTATCAATTAAACGGTCGGTCTTACCGACAACCTCGAGCCCCATCGGGAACCTTCGGTTGAGCGGTCAGGGGATCGCGAAACCCCCGAAAAGTAGTTAAAATCTAGCTATTGAGAAGATCGCACGGGTATTAAACTGTAGCATTACGTACAGTATATCACCTCAGTTTTGATTCAATTCAGTGTTAAATTCAGTGACTCAACAAATTATTTGAAAAGACTATCAACAGTGCCAATACTACCAAGGAAATGTATTTATTTAATTAACGAAGTGGTTCGAGTCCACAATAAATTGAGTTATATTTTTTGATAAACAGTGACAAATAATTGAATTAATATCGATAACTTTCGGCAGGAAATTTGTTCAAAAATTTGGAAAATTAGCGGCATTCTGTTACTCCTTAAGGGTAAGACGGCGCATGGTAACGCAGATACAAAATCAGAAGAGGGAAGTGGGAAAGGCAAGGCAAACGAATGGGGAGCCTATAAAAACGTAATGGTAATAGGAAAGAAATATGAATAGAAAAAATAGTCTACCATACTGAATATTTATAAATATTTAGTCATAGTTGGAACTCAACCTCGACTAGACCCTGATCAAACCCTGGTCAGAGGGTTTCCAATTATACTTTGAGTAAATCGTGATTGACCCAGGTTAAACCCTGAGTAAATTTTGCTTGAATCACTCGAGACAGTTGGGGTGAAAAAATCTGAAGAGAAAAAGTAGGAGGGGAATAAAGGTTGACGACATGGGGCGCCTATAAAACCGTAACGGTACCAGAAAGGAAATATGAATTTAAAAAAATATATTTCAAGCATAAACATCTTTCGTAAAAGATGAGACTTAAAAATGGAATCCACCAATACTTGGAAAATATTCTGTAATCAAAAAATGAGTCGTGAAAGAAAAAAGAATAAATCTTGGAAAAAAAAAGATGAAATATCTCAGAAATCCGTCCATTTGAATTTCTCGGATAATTCTGAACTGCCCCGACATCTCTGGGGCTCGCTTCGACCTAGAGCCCCAACAGGTGCCCCATCGACAATTCAGAAACGCAGTGGCCACAAAAAATAACAACACTTGATAATATAAACTCCACAGCCTATTTATTATGAATGATCCTTAAACTATAATTCTTACATTGTGAAGTTCAAACTAAAAGAATGCTTTTTCTCAAAGGTTCTATCAATTAAAGATTACAGATTGAAATTTCGTAAATTTCGATTACCAAAAATATAATGCAATTTATTTTTTATCATTTCTTCAATGATCTCTCGAAATTCCTCGTATTCCTCACGTTCTGTACGTTTGACTACAAAATTCAATCATTTCACAATGGGTTCTGACGTCATCCAACTATCCACATTTGCCTTCCGAAATTTTGTTTTGTAGTTCTAAAAATACAAGAATATTAAGGCAATCTCACGATGAGTCAATTATCGTAATTTCCTCGAACTGAAATTTTCTAAAACTGGAATCATTGTCCTTCTTTCCAAATCAAATTTCCCTCGTGGTTCACAATGACGAATTATCGTGTCGCCCGAGTTATTTCATCAATAAATTTTAAATAATAATAATTACCACATTAAAAGAAAGAAGTATAATGAAAATCAGTCCCGACTGTCCTATAATCCTGCAGCTTTCCGAATAAAACCAACTAGTCATATTAAAATTGCTTAAATTTCAATGACCAGAAATGTAATGAATGCAATTTTTTTTTTTTCAATGATCTCGAGGTATTCCCCATATTCCTCACATTTTGCTACATTTAACTACAAAATCATTCACAATATATGCCAACGACATTCAACATTCACATTTGACTTCTGAAATGTTGTTTTGTAGCTTAAAAAATGCAAGAATATTAAGGCAATCACGATGATTCAATTACCGTAATTTCATCGTTAAGACCCGTGTGGATTATCTTTTGAACGTGATCTTGATCGTGTTTTTTATTGTGATAATCTGAAATGATCTCCAATTGCTATTCACTTTTACATAGCCCTGGAGTCTCCGAAAAATAATCCACCCGGGCCTTAAACTGAAATTTTCAAAAACTGAAATCATTATCCTTTTTTTCTAAATCAAATTCTCCTCGCAGCTCACAATGACAAATCATCGTATGTCATCACGAGTTATTTCATCAATGAATTTCAACTAATAATAATTACGACATTAAAAGGAAGAAATATAATGAAAACCAGTCTCGACTGTTCCCCAAATAATCCTTTAGTTTTCCAAATAAATTTAAAAAAGTTATATTAAAATTTCTTAAATTTTGATTACGAGAAACATAATGCAATTTGTGATTTTGGTTATTTTTTTAATTTTTTTAAATATTTTTCAGGTTTTGTTACGTTTGACTACACCATTTCACAATTTGTGCCAACGTCATCCAACATTCATATTTGACTTCTGAAATTTTCTTTTGTAGTTTTAAAAATGCAAGAATATTACGACAATCGCGCACGACGATTCAATTACCGTAATTTCCTCGTTAAACTAAAACTTTCATTGCTAAATTGAAATCATTGTCCTTTTCTGATAACTTCCTCGTTAAACTGAAATCATTATCCTTCTTTGCCAAATCAAATTCCCCTCGCGGTTCACAACGGCAAATCGTCATATGTCCCCACGAGATATTTTATCAATAAATTTCAAATAATAATAATTACCATATTAAAAGAAAGAAGTATAATGAAAACCAGTCTCGACTATTCCCCAAACAATTCTATAATTTTCGCAATAAATCCAAAAAAGGGGCAAATTTAAACCCCTATAATAGAAAATAACACAAGAAAAAAACCTAAAAGTTCGAAGTTAAACTCGAAAATAAAACATTGAGTTTCGCAAAGATAATCAACACAAGTATCTCGATAAAATCAAAAACAATAATACCATTATCGATTCCACTCTGCTCTCCCTACTCCTCTCCTGCGTCCCTTAATCACCTAAAATTACATCCCCCAAATTCTCTACCTGACATACATCCTCCCCACCAATAACAATCACAATAATACCGTGAATCATTGGATAATCAAATCACTAAAAACAAAAATTCACTCATGAATTCGATTGTCTGTGAATTTATTAGTGCGACGTCTTTTATTATCAAAAGATGAATGATCTGAATATGAGGGACATGGAGTCAATGATAAATGTTACTTGGGCATTGTGTACGTTGTTGTTGACGTATCCTTGTCAACATCCATCATTGCGTCAGTGATTTTATCATTGGATGGATGACTTTGTTGCTCTTGTGATTCTGTAAGTGTGGGATCTACCATTAGAGCGAAGACTTTCTCCTCTTTCATGTCTTTAGTGGCTGTTTTGAACTCCTCAACTTGATCTGAGAATGCCTGCCAGAAGGACTGGGCATCTGGGACTACGAAGAGGGCCTTGAACTTGTTGTAAATGTGCTCGGCCTTTTGTCTGATGACTTCTGATTTTTGTTTGAAAGAGAGCACTTGGTCTTCTGTGAATTTCCACTCTGCGACGTTTCCAATGTATCTTCGTAATCTCTTGACTGTTTCGACTACGTGGGGATGTTTCTTGAGCATCAGGGGCTCGATTGAGAGCCCCAGCATCTCCTCCATAGCCTCGAGGCATTCGTCAGTGTTCGCTCGGTCCAGCCCCAGGTTGGATTTTATCTGGGCGTCCAGTTGAAGGAGTTGATTCTCCATTCTCAGCCATTTGAGCTTGGACTTTTGTTCACTGGGGTTCTCTTCTTTGGGGGAGGCTTTCTTGTCCTCTTTCTTGTCGCTGTCCAGGCTGACACGTTTTTTGGGGATCGAGGGGATGGGGGGCGCCTCTAGGGAGTCGTCGACTTTGCTTCGGCCTCGGCCTCGAGCGAAGTTCTCCATGTCGAATTCGTCGGAGGAGGAGAAGTCCGCGAAACGCTTGGGCTTGATTTTTCGACCACTGCGACTTACTACTTCTTTACTGGAGTCCTCGATCAGGGAGTCGTTTGTCTCCGGTTTTGGCGTGTTGTCCGCTGTGTACCAACCCTTGGCACGACCTCGTTTCTTCTTGGGCTCGGGGGAATCTTGCTGTGGAGAGGAAGATGACATTATTAAGGATGTTTAGCCATTGTTGATAAATTGTCGGTAAATGTCCTTTTTTTCATGGTCAAGGAAAATTCTGTAATTTTTTCGACTGGCAGCAGAACATATAAAACTAACTTTTCTAACGTTAAAAAAAAATAATGGCAATAGTCTCGGCAGAAATGAATAAACTCATTTTTCCTTATGCACCGGGCTCTTAATAAAATTTACGTTCAAATTGATAATTCACCTACTTGAAGACTAAAAATAGAAATAAAAATAGACGGTAATGTGTAAAATCACTGAATCCAATGGCCGGAGAAAAATCTGGGGTACCCGAGCAAAAAGAGGAAACATTTGAATGATTCTATCCCATACAAGCGCATGTTAGCTCATGCATTTGGTATATTTTGTCTATTTCATTTCTAAATAATGAACCTGAATTGGTGGATTGAAATTTGTATCAAAGTGAAGGGAATATCTTCATCTCTCAGTTTAAAAAAATATCTCAACAATGAGGAATTTTCGAAACACTTATTAAGAGAGATTTTTCCTTTCACAGATTTTACAGAATAACTTCCATGAAATTTGTTAATGTATTCCTTTTTACCACTTTTCAATATGAATGACCTCAATCATCAATAATTTCACAAACAAATTACCAAGAAATCAGCAATTCTCCCGAAATTTGTAAAATAACCCAATAATAATCTCCATAACAAGTTTCAATCTCCATTCGTGAAATCATTCCAATTTCCCAAGTTTCATCGTCAAACGATTAATGTATGGAATAATCGCACAAGCCCATTAAACTCAAGACAAGCTTGTCGGCAGTTCCAATGACCTTTCCTCTCGGAAAAAACCTCAAGCGTGACATTCCACATCTTAAAAAAAATGTCACAACAATTTTTTTCCCACAGTCATAAACCCATACAATTTCCATTATCTCACCGAATTGATAGGTGTAGCTAATGATTTCCTTTTGAGCTGCTTCTTCTTGTCACCCTCGTCAATGACCAGTGGCCCTGTTTCCAGATCACTGTCGAGTCCAGCGCTCGGTGGTACCTCTGGCGTCGGTCTGGTCTCCTTCTCAGATGTCTCAACAACAGCTTCTGAGCGCCAAATCAATGGAAACAAAATAAACATTCATTTGTCATTCTTTCAAACGCACGAAAAAAATTTCTAGAAAAACCTCGTCGAAGTTCTATCATTTTTTTGCCGATTCTAAATGCTTAATAGGAAATATTTGCTGGAAAAAATGAATGGAACTTGATTTTTCTGTACAACTTTATCTAAATGAATTCCTCGATATGAAATATCAAAGTGTTTTCGACTCCATTTCTTTTCGTTTCAATTTAAAAAGTCAGACACAAAAACTTGGAGAATTTGAGCCGAAGAATTTTTGCAGGAAATATATCAATAGGATAAGTTATATAGAAAAATCAAATTCTACTGATTTGTTCAATAGAATATATGTGTATAAAAAAACTTGGACAATTTGACACGAAGAATTTCTATAGAAAATATATCAATAGAATAAGTTGTATAGAAAAATCTAAATTTACAGATTTTTTCAATAGAATATTTTCCATTGAACATTTCAAACGGTTTTATTTATTTTTGACTTTTGGTCAGTTTTCAATGAATATCTTGGAATCTAAGGCGGATGACAAAATTTTTGTGAATACATTTTTTATAGCGCAGGTTGAGAGCTACAAAAAAGGTTATCACGGAAATTTTGCCATCTCGCTTAGTTTTGCAGATATTTCTCGAAAACAGCTAAGAGCTACGTCAACTTGAATGGTTTTATTTGCAAGATTTTTCTACGAAATTATTTGTACGTGAAAATAAACACGTTCGTCTAATCCTTTTGTTTTCCTCATTTACTCCTAAAAACCTCATCACCTTTCTTTGGAGTCACTGTCTCTGGCTTTCCCTGTTCGTTATTGAGCTCTCGTTCCAACTGTTGAAGTCCCTCGTGAAATATCTTCCTCTTGAGGTGTTTACCATACTTCTCCTTATTTTCTTCGTAAAGAAACAACTCTTCAACCTTGCACACAGCTCTGGGAACCCACAATAATCCAAATATGCAGACAATAGACAATAACAAGGGAATAATCCAATGAAAAAAGCTATTTCATTCGTGAATAAAGACAAAATGGAGTACGTACGTTTCGCCAGTCCCATAAAAAAACACTTTGTATTTGGCATTTTTTGTGTTGGGGTCTGTCACACCCTCGACCTAAACAAAAAGAGGGGGAGAGGGGTCGAATTCAATTGTTCTCTTGATTCGTGTCAATCAAAAAATGACGTAGATCGTAAAAATTCATCGATTTTTCGCAAGTCAATGAATGAAAATACTCAAATTATTCGTCAGGAATTAAAGAAAGCATTTTGGCAATTTTTTTCAACTTCTTTGGGGCTTTTTGGGGTTTAGAGAGGCAGTAATTTGATATAAATTAATTTACTCACTCTTGCTGGCCAAGGCGGGTAACCTCGAACTTTGGCGAATACCTTATCCCCCGGCAAATATTTTTTAAGGAGTTTCATCTCACCTTCTCTCACGATTCAGTGGCTAAAATATTGCCGGTTGTTATCGATTATTCATGGAAGATCTGGGGGTGGATTTTTTAAAGTGTTTTGATTTGTTTGGGGAGAGGATAAATTGTTAATGAGTAAAAAAAGTACTTGGTTTGACGAGGCAATGCCAACCAATGCCACCATTTGCAGGCGAGAATAAACGTCGCTTGAGGTGTTGAAGGAGACGAGGAAAACACACGCGAGACGCGCTCGCGGCGTTGCTGGCGGTCCTCTTGCGGCATGAGAGGGAGGTTTGTTTGAAAGACGCGGGAAGGGGTCAGGTGATTTTTTGGCGCCATTATTTAAAAGGAAAAATATGACATCGCATGACTGTCGTATGACGAAAAAAAAAAATGATGGTCATTTTCACATCTCTAATGTCGACATCTCCTAATAAAACAAGGACCAAAATTTCTTTTCCCTTTGGAAAAAATGGTTTTCCTTTGTTTTCATTGACAAATCAACAATTTGATAATAAAGACCACGGAAACTCGTTACCTGAAACTAAGTTCATGCGAGAAAAGAAGTTTTGGTTGGACTATATTTCAATTTTCTTTTTAAAACATTATTAATATTAACAGGCATTATGTTCCAGGCACTAATGTATAGTTCTAAGTTTTGTTACTGTTTTTCGGCATAACACTCTGTTGATTACACATAATTCGTTTGCTATGTTTTATTTTTGAATCATATGTATATATGTTATGTGGTAACCCTGTCATTGGCCATTTGGCTGTTGGGTCTATTCGAACCAATAAAATAAAAAATAAAATGAAATAACAGAAAGAAAAAACAAAATTTTATGTTTAAAACAAGGAAGGATCTTAAAATACGCGTTAAGACTAGGGTATTTCAAAATTCATGTGAAAAATCATCTGAAATCTCACGTTTTCCTTCTCTTGACAGCTGTATAAATGGTATGAATGCATCAAAAGGTACAAATAATATGAAGAAGAGTTCACATTGGAGGAGAAATAAAATGATTTATGAGCTCCGTGAGACTGAAAAACGGATGTGAACAACAAGCTTCCGCATGAATTTTGAGATACCCGTCTTTTAAGAAGAAAATTGAAGTATACTTGTTCTATTAGGAGATGCCGATGTTGACAATAACATAGTATAGTTGATTGCTTTCTCCAAAACCCCATGACCTTCAGTTCTTGGTAATAATTATGGAGATGAATGGTTTTATCAACTCTAATAGAGAATATTATCTTCTCCATGTTGATAACAATTTAAACCCTTTGCGGATACCTTGGAGTGGTTTACCGCCTCAATTACTACATTCACCGTCCATTCTAAACGTAACATCAAAGTGTTACGCTTCAAAATCTTTACGATATCTCCTCCTGAAGCGATTAATATCTGCAGGCTAGGGATTTTGCGATTCAAGTCACCTTAAAATTTATTCAAACACTCGGAGAAATATAAAAAATTAAGACTGGAGGTTATTGATATTGATCGAAAGGGATGGATAATAATTCAATTACAGTTCCTAAATCACATTCGTTGAAATGCAATTTACGATATAATTTCGTTCAATCAATATTTATTAAATAAAATATATGATAATATTAATAATTTTAATAGTGATTGAAAACATTAGATTAAACCTTAGTACCTAAAAAAATCACGATGTATTTAAATTATCATTGAAATTATTAATGGACTTAAAAAAATGATGCAACCTTACAACTTTGTGCATGCCTTAGTGACAGTTAATACGGCGGCGAGTGCCTCCTTGGCCGTTGGTGTAATGTATTTAGCTGGAAGAATGAAGCCATGCTTGCCCTTGTCCCTCAGTTCAATGGTATATGCGTATTTGACCTTGAGGTAGGCCTTAGCCCAATCATCGGCACCACCTGCTGCTGCATACAAAGTAGTTGCACTATTGCCCACTGTATAGACACTGCCTGCACCACCAGCTGACTTCATCGCTGCTGCTGATTGCTGACCGAGTCTCTCCAGGTCTGCGTAATCTGGGGGTACACGACGGTCGTAGCCCCATGGGTAGAGGATGTACTGGCCGTAGCTGTGGAATGTTAAATATGCCTGGAAGGAGAAAATTTTGAAATTATGATAATTTCCCCAATTCTGATTTCGATCAGAGGGCAGTATTCTGGGTCACGTGATACCTTCACATCAATTTTATTTTGATTATTTTTCCCAATCGGATTTCGAGCAATCAGAGCGCAGTATTTGAGGCTATCCGACAGTTTTATTTCGAATATTTCCTCCAAGCTTTTGAATATTTCGCAGTAGTTCTTCATTTTTTTACTTAAATATTTCGCGTATTTCCCCCAAGCTCCCCTGCAAACAAACCATCGTGCCAAATTTTGTAGAAAAATTCCTCGCGCAAGCGCTTGGGATTTTTTAACCTGCAAAACTTGACACCTTTATTTGCAACGAAGCTATCCGGAAATACCCGGTAATTTTGAAGCTCTTGGGGTATTACTGATTATTTTTGGTAATCGGATCTGGCCTTCCCTGGGCCAATCAGAGTTCAGTATTCAATAACATGAAGTACTTTCCCATTAAAATTACAGCGGTTATTTCCCCCTAGCTTTTGATAATTTCCCTCTAGCTCTGCAATTGTTTCTCTAACCAAATAACTGTCAAATGTTATGCTGTGGAGTGAAAGAAAGTCATGAAAAAAGTCAAAATGAGTCGGTTTGGGAAGGATCTGATTACCAAAAATAATCCGTCGAATACAACTCGATCTCCAAAATTAGTCGAACATTTCCCTCATGTGTTCCTACGTATCAACGATCGGGATAAGTTTTGCACAAAAATTTTAATCTGCAAAACTTCTCCCTCTCGTTGCTACGCAACAAAACAATCGAGAAATATCCGATAATTTTGGAGGTCTCATGGTATTACTATCGATTACTTCCCTAACTGAATTGCCAGCCAATAAAAATGCAGTATTTGAGGTTTTGCAGTGGAGTGGGGGTAGGATTGTTTCGATAATTTTTCTGTAATTCCCAGTTCGTCGCATGGTGACCAGAACGCTAAAGCCTAAATAACACGGTGGGGAATCCCCGCGAAGGTGACCAATCGCAGCGTCGCATTTAGTGACCAGACTAGTGTTAAAATTCATTTATTCATGATCTATTGCGAATAAAGTGAACGGATGCTTCATTTTATTCTTTGGAGTGTAAAAACAGGAAAAAACGAAGTTGCTCGTGGTTACACGGGGCAAAATCGATTGGGTGCGTGATTTTCTCTAACAAAAACTTTTAAATTTCACCGACGTACCCCCTTAAAGGATGTTTTATAACCCGACGGCCTGGCGCAGTGGGTATTAACTTCATTTTTACAGCTATTTATCCGTAAAATTTTCCCAAAAAATGACGACAAAACTTATTCCAATATTTACTGCTTTTAATCCGCAAATTATTGGAAATTTTTATGGAAAATTTCTGGAATACTTGAACGATAATTCCAATACTATTCGCTGTAAATTTACCCTCACTGTGTCGATAAAACATCGGTAAATTATCGAAAAATTAGTAGATGAAATACTCTACAATTTATTGGGGTATGGGATAGTTTTGTTACCTGGCTTAAAGTGTTGATCATCATCGCCATATATTCAATTGAGTCGAAGCGATGTAAAATAACAATAAAAAGAAAAAGAGTTTTATTGGAAAACCATACATAATTTTTCTGGATTGCACCCACCTTAAAATCAGCAGCACTAGCATCAAAAAAGTTTTTAATCGCAGCCGTTTCGGGCTCCGAGAATGGCCCAGTCCCAGCGAAAATTTCTCTACACGGCTGTTTACTCGTTCCCAATCCACCCCATCTGTATCCAAAATTTCTATTCAAATCGACACCGATGCAGACACCACCTTTTTCCGGACTACTTCTGTTCTTTCTCCAAAGTCTATCACCACGGAACGTGTACTCGTATCCATCGGGATTGACGACAGGTAGAACATAGTAATCAGCTTTTAGCTCGTCACTGTTTTCCACCAGGTAATTTATTATGTACGTGACGGAGGCAGGTGAAATCCATTCACGTGCGTGTATGCCACCGTCGATCCAAATTGCCGGGGCATTTGGCTCGCCTCTCGATATGCGGAGGACCTGGTGGGAAAGGTGAATTATTTTGGAGTTACATTATTTGTCGGGTGAGGCTGGGGGCGGAGGGAGACGATACCTTCAGGGGTCTGCCCTCCACGGAATTGCCGATTGACATGACAGAACAGATTTCGGGGTACGTTTCTGATAGATAATCGAGGTAACCGTGGATGTCCTCTAGGTGGTGATAGCTCGTCCACTCCATTCGATGACCTTTAGGTGTGTTAGAGAATTTTATTTCTTCAGTTTTTGGGGGGAATTCAACCAGGAAAATGCTCAGTGAACGCTCCACCCGTGGAATTTTAAGGAGAAAATATTTTTATTGAGGAAGTGTACGGAGTTCTCTGTTGCGAATGGAAATGCGACTTAAAAAATCATGGATTGTTTATCGTCATATAGGGGAGGTTGGGGTAAAACGGATACTTTTGACTTTTTTAAAAATGTTAATGGGAGGTTGAAATGTTGATAAAATTTAATAATTTTGTTTTCAATACAAAGGAGAACTCTTTCCCTTTGTGACGAGCCTAAACCGAGCTCAATTGATAAATTTGTTTCTGAGTTACGAATAATTTTAAAAAAGTCTAAAGTGTTCGTCATACCCCATCCTCCCCTATTTCTGAAGACAATTAGATGTGGAATTGCATCTTTTTTCAAATCACTGATTTAATTTTCATTTGATTGTCGTTTAAATTTTATTTTCACATAGATCCAATAGCGTAAAGCCAATTATAGGATCATATTTATATTGACATAACGTTGAACAATGAAGTAGACTACTATCTTAGAAAAAAAAAACTCAAAAAATTACCAAGATGATTTTATGAGGATATGTCGAGCTTTACATTACATTACAGAAAACGTTCTTTGTAGACGAGAAAATTGGCTATAAAAAAGACCCTGTAAAGTTTTTTTTCATTATTGAAACATTCTGAACAGATTTTTTAAAAATGATTTTCAAAATTAATAGATGTGAAAAAATAGGAAAAGAGCTTTCCTGTAGTAAATAAAATCTCGTATAAAAGTAATCCAATATAAATAAAAAAAATAATCCAATGATTTCCCTTAGAATCACTCAGGACCGAGATAATTCTCGTAGTAAAAATTTAGACCAGAGAAAACTTTAAAAAATTGATTTATGCACACAGAAAAACCTAAAAGAATTTACGCTTAATGCCAATATGATGTCTGGGGGCTTTTTTCCGTTATGACGATTGGAATTTTTTCTTCGAAAAGGCGTATTTTGCGATAAAAACGTAAATTACGCCGAAACAAAGTGTATTTTACGTTAGTAAAAATAGTATAGTATAGTATTTTTATAGTATTTTTTAGTTTTTTTTTAGTATAGTATTTTTTGGCAGGGAAAAATATTATAGCTATATCCATAAATTAAATTTGCTGTTTAATTATTAAGTAGTCAATTCTACTTAATATCACCCTTAAATTGTAATTATTGAAGTAATCATAAATTTAAATATTCTATTAATATTTATTAATCAGTAATTTAGCCAAGAAGATTGATGATTATTTGGATAATCGAATTTAGTATTATTTGGTTAATACAAAATTTACAGTTCCATATTATCAAATATTTAATTCATCACCAATTGGAAATTTAGATTATGAATTATTTCACTATTTTTCAATTTCGATTAGTATATTTACACCTTAATCAATGTAAGGCCCGGTCGCACCAGCTCCGACTAACGAAAAATAAGAAAAAAAGTAAATTTGGATGTTCGATGGATTATTTTATCCGGGAGAGTATCTCAAATTTATCCCAGGAACAAAAAAATAAAATTTAAACCCAAAATTATTCTTCGGATCAAATATTGAAAAATTATGACCCCTACGATATAATTGACCCCGAGGAGGAATTTTACCCTGGGGTTTATTTGAATAACAGGGCTTGGTGCAACCGGGCTTAAGTTGGAAATTTTTCTAATATTGAAGAATCGGAAGATTGATGGCCATCCCGATTTTTCAGGCTGTTGCGATGGGCATTTTTATTCATCTGGAGTTGACTGAATTTATATAGAGCATTTTCCTGGCTGTAGGAAATTAACCATTGACTAGCGTTTTTTTTCGATTTTAATGAAGCACCTGAGAAGCTCACCCCTGAAATGCCACGGAGTTTTTCCACCACCTTTTCTAGATACAGAGTAACCAACGGGACTAACCATTGATGGAGGTACATTTGATATACGTCGCAACTTGAATGTCTTCCACCATGTGTAACGAGCTAAAAAATAACTTTTGGTTTCCATTTCTTTACAATCAAACTAAATCTTTCTTTTTCTGAATTTGTGTTTCTGGAGATCTTCTCAAACAATTGCAAGAACAATTCAAAGATTATGATAATTGATGTTATTCTTCAATTCTTCAAAATTTCACGTATGAAAAAATTCAATAGAAAAGCGACACTGTTAAGAAAATGTTGTTGAATTTTCCGGACAAAGACCTTGAATTCGATTTAAGGGGAAAAAGTCAATGGAATTTCATGCTTGTCTGAAAATTCAAGTAAAGTTCCAATTTAATAGTGGTAGGAAGGAGAAACTCCTTAATTTATATGAATTTGCAAGTGAAAATCAATGTTGACCGCCAAATTCCCTTGAATTTCCAGGGAATTCCCTTACAGTTCTTGGAATTCCAGGAATTCTCTGAGGAATTCCGTAAAAATTCAGAGGAATATGGAATTCATGGAGAGAATAATAATAATTTTCACGAAATTCATTGCAATAAAAATACACAAAAAAATAATTTTCTTACAATAGGCCATCGCCCGAGGGCCTTCCGCCAGTTCAAGGCGAGGTTTCTCTGAATTTTCCAGATTTTTCATTAATTTTCCGTGGAATAATTAAATTGAAATTGACAGTTTCCACGGATTTTTCCATGAAATTATGAATTTCTAATTCCTTGAAAATTTAGTGGACATGTTACTTGTTAGAAATTTTCAAGAATCTTGCCGGAAATTTCAATGAAAATTTTTTAACAGTGTAAGGTATTCACAGGAAAATCCTATCGATTTTCCGCAAGACTCTTTGGACGTCTAGTTGAATTCTACATCATTAAATTTTAGATAATTTTTTGATTATCAGTGTAGAAATCGTCGCGGATTGAACAACGAATTCGAGTAGACGGGAGGCCGCCGGCTGTTGAGGATCTACCGCGCGATATGGGCGCCGAACTTGAGGGGTTAAAATCGGATTTTTTTTCCCTCCAATGTCTGTCAAAAAAATGGCGCGCAATAACTGGAAAATTTTCAAGAAAAAACGGCGAAGAAACAATGAGAATAGTCCATAAAATTTCAATAGAATTCTTCTAGAGTGTACGGAGAGAAAAATTCAATAAGAATTACCAGAAAAAAACGTAAAAATAGAAATAACTCACCAGCTTCATAAAAATTGTTGAACGTTCAAGAATTTTTTATTTTGAAGGCATAATAAGTCGAGAAGTTTCTGTAAGATTTTACTTCTTCGGGAAAAATTACGTGACAATTTCGTACATTGTTCGGCGATGAATCTCAAAATTCACGGAACGTTTCAGATTTCTTCTCTTCCATTCCTATAAAAATTGCCGGAAAACGATTCCCCATTGCGGATTACGTGAATTGTTCCGTAATTTTTACTGAATATTTCTCTCCGTGTGTCCATAAAACTCCAAATTAAAAGTGATTTTTCAACTTAATTTTTCATACGTGTTCCTCCTAATTTGGAATTCAAAAGTTCTCCATAAATCTGAATAATCAATAGAAATGATTGGAATTAGCATAGAGCGAGAAAAGTGAAAGATCACGTTCAGAATGTAGACGATTCATGTAGTGTATAACTGTTATGTTAATCAGTATTGTCGATCGAGCGTTGAAACTGGGTTAACCCAGTCGAATCCAATTCCAAGGTTGATAACCCCGATACAAATCATCTTTAGGTCTTATCACTCAGACTACCCCGCTAAAAACCTCGTGCCCAAAGCTATTACAATATTTCCTCTTTTCATCGGACAACAGCATTTGCGAGGAAAATTTTTGAATTCGAACCTTTACGGCCAGCCAGCTCTTCCAGCGCTTCCTCGTCTATGGGATTCTCTTGGTCGATGGCTTGCTGCAGATCTGGTATAATTACGTCGTACTTAACTTCTCGCTCACGCAGGAAGCGTGAGACACGGGGTATCATGTCAGGGCGGACGAGGACGTCGACCGCAGAGTCATTACCAGTCCATTTCGATACCTCTGTAATTGTAATGAAACAAAGGACAATGAGAAATATTGACAATTGGAAAAGATTTCAATACGTTCCATTTTGCCTGACCCTCCCCTATTATTTATTATTCATCCACTGTTTTTTGATACATGATATCTTTTCCACAGGGGGAAATCCCGATAATACAAATGTATATAGAAAAAAAAGAAAAGAGAAAAGAAAAAAATATATAGATATAGAAAAAAACTAATTGCCGATTTTATTGCTTACATTACGTATTTTTTTTTTAAATTATGAGATGAAGTTTTTCAATGAGAAGGTTGCTTTCCCGTGATTTCCACTAACAGATCATTTGCGCTTCTATCTAATTGCTCATTTTATTGCTTATACTATGCAAAAAAAATTTTTTAAAGTGAAAATAAGAGTGAACAGGATCAACCTATTTATTGTCAAAATAGGATTTCGCATGATTTTTTTTAAATGACTGAATATGCAAATGTATAAGTCCGGGGGACAACATATCTAATAACGTCTAGTTTCTTGAAGATAGTGTTTATCGTTAGATTTTATCGATAGTGAGTGATTTCAAAAGGAATCATGAAATCACCTTTTTTGTAATAAATGGAACTCATTAAATGAATTTTCATAGTAATAAATTATTTAAAGAGAGAAGTTTTCGATGAGATGATGGTTTTCTGAGATTTTCGCGAATAATTGTTTATTTTATTTTTCATGTAATAACATGAGCAAAAGGGAAAAAATTAAACAAATAATTGGTCGGGGAATTCTCAGAAGAAGGCCTTCTGAAATTAAACAAAAATGAAATTTCAAAAAAAATGAAAATTAGAGTGAAGAGAATCAATTTATTAGTTATCAAAGTGGGATTTGGCATAATTTTTCTCTGATTTTATTCTCCATGTGATTATTAAACTTGGTACTTGTACGCTTCAGACCATTATTTTATATAATTTCCAAGCAAAATTAGCAGTATCTAAAAATATAATAAATTTCTATCAAATTCAACTACCGCTAAAATTTCAAGGAGTTTCGTCATTGAAAATTCAGAATTTCGTGGAAAAATCCAAGAGAACTGTAAATTTCAGTTCCATTTTCCCCTGAAAATAAATAGAAAAACCGAAAATTCCGGTAAATATATTCTTGATTTTTCAGGACAGTCACTCTGAATGCGATTGAGGGGGGGAAAAATGATGAAATTTCAGATTTCACTGAAAATTCAATGTAATTTGGCACTAAATATTCATATTGGATTGGAAATTCAAATAAATTAAGGCATTCTTCTCCGTATGGTGTTTAAAATTCCGACATTTTACAAAATTTTCAGTGAAACTTGAAATTTCATGATTTTTTCCGCTAAATCGCATTCAGTGTCACTGTCCTGAAAATTAGTAGTGAAATTTCATGAAATTTCATTTTTTTTCTAACAGTGTACTTCACGGAGAAAAAAATTTCAGAAAAATTACTGTGCCAGCACGCTAAAATGGGTTTGTTTGGGCGGACCCGGAAAAATTACCACGCCAGCAGCGGAAAATTTGCTGTAGAGTACAAGAATTTTTCACGATAAATCCGAGAAAAATACCTGTAGCGTTCGGCAGAAATCCTGGTGCTGGTTCGCTAATTTTTCCAGGTCCGTCCAAATGAACCTATTTTACCGTGCTACCACAGTAATTTTTCTGGAATTGTTTTCTCCGTGTGGAATTTTCAGCACCGAATGATGCTAAATTTTTCTAATTTCTATTAATTTCCATAGAATAATTAAAAACTCGAATTGTCCATCGACTTTTCCATCCAATTGTGAATTTAAAATAGCAAAATCCTAGTATTTGCCTGAAATTCCAACCAAAAATTCTCGACACTATACCTCCAGTTTCCTGCAAATAATTAACAAAATCCGCTTGCTCCCCTTCGGCATTGACCCTCCAGAGTTGCGAGCCCTCATAAGTGACCTTCTCCTCGGGTATCTCAACAGCCTTAACAATCACCGCATCAACAGGTTCCACCTCGGTTTCAATCCTGAGATCGTGCAACTGTCTCGCCTCCTCCGACACATTCAATCCTGTCCGTTTCTCCTTGGAGTGGGACAAATCTAGTGATAACGAATTACCGACAAAAACCACCAGAATTGCCGCGAAAGCGATCACCCACCGGTTTAGTCCGGTCATCCTCGCTATTCACCTCGGCCGAACGTGTACACTGACCTTACGAGCTACTCGTCTCACCGTTTTATAAACATTCAGCCGATGGTTAACGGTATCTTCACCGTGAGCAAAACATCAAATACCCCACCCTGGTGTCACGTGCGAATGGGAATCCTGAATTTGTACCGGCTTTTTTCCAATATTCTGCCGATGGGTCGGCGGGTTCCGTTGGTTTTCTTAGGTCGTCGACAATAAAAGCCGAAGGGGGAAGACATTGCCTTTGCTTTAAGAACATTTAAAAATGTCTTTAATGGGTGGAGGATAATTGGTGTAACGTGGCTTCTGTATGATAAACGGTACCGAGGTAATTGCAACACTAAAATGGAGACAATGGGGTTTAAAAGGTCATCAGAAAATTGTGAAAAAATTGCCGGGGAAGCTCTAATCTCGATGTACCAGTAACAGTTTTGTGATATTGTGCAATAAGTTTGGAATAATTGCAGTGCAATTTTAACATTCCGTTGGCCGCAGTAAATTTACCAACGCGGTTGATCACACCGCGATTTATGATAATTCAACCATCAACTTCAGGGTATCATTGAACACACACTGCAATTTCAACTATATATTATCGTTGAATATTTATTGCTCGTCAGAGTTACGTAGTTTTGGTCGGGAATTGAGCGTTTAAAGGGTAACAGAATGCTATTCATTTTCAAAATTTTTGAACAAATTTCCTGCCGCCGATTATCGATATTTTGATAAATCTAAGTTCTTTCAAGTTCTGTCACGTAATTTTTCGTAAAGTTTTTTCTCCGCGTAATGTTCAGAATTTGATATCATTTCTATCTCAGGGATATTTCTGATAATCATGACAAAAATTTAATTTTGTGAAGGATATTAAATTTCCTTCTATCAAGATGGTTAATTTCTCTCAAGTAAAACATAAAAAGTTTCGAAAATCTTCGAAAAATGAGAATTATCTGGACTGGTTTCCTCTGTTAGTGATCCTCCCAAAATCACAACATGGTACAATTTTTTGATCCACCGATTACTGAAAATTACACGGAGAAATTTTTTAGAAAAATTATAGTACTAGCACGGGAAAAGTGGCGCAGTGACGGCCAGGAAAAAAATCCAGTGCCAGCACTAGAAATTTTATTAGGGAAAATGTGAATTTTTCCCCGTATTTCTGTGAAAATTTCACAGAAATCCCCAGACATTTTACCAAAAATACCAAAAAATTTTGCCTTAATAGCACTAAAATTTTTCACAGCCGGTGGATTGTGATTTTTTCCAGTACTCGTACTAGAATTTTTCTAAAAAATTTCTCTCCGTGTAGTTATGATAGTCATTTTCCTCCAAATTTTTAGAGATTTGAAATTTGCGGATTCAAGTCGTGAATAAATGAAAATTTTTATATTTGACTGCTGCATATATTGACCCATTCAACGATCAACCCTTTTCCCACGTTTGGCCACCTTGTAGTAGCGCGTGAGCTGCCGTGCTTCTGTTATGGCGCACTACCACACGATCATAGGCGATCGTAGACGTTGGTCGTTCAATGGGTTAAACAACACTCACAATTGAAACAAGTGGGAAATTGCTCTTGTATTGCATATAGGTAGTCTAGTTATTTTTGTTAATAAATTAGCAATATGCTTTCAAATGGTTATCTTGCACATTATTTCTTTCTATCATGCAGAATTAATTGTTTATTCCATTTAATCGGATTGAATAAGATTTCTTTTCAACTAATTTTGTCAGATTTTCAACTTAGTTGAATGTTATCGTCATCATTATTCATATTACTCTTTCTTCTACACAACCGATTTTCTTTTTTACGGTTCTATCTCTCCCCTCAGCCCTCCGATAAAATGTTGATAACAAAATTTTATTTATCTGTATTTGAATGAATTTGAAACATCACATTTGACGAAATCATCGGAAAGCTCACTTTCAGGGAACTTCATGAAAAATTAGAAATTTGTAACAATCATCATATAAATAAAATCAACCAATATAGCTATCGTAATCATCTTCTAATTTCGACTTAATAGCATTCAAACAAACATTTTAAGCTCTGATTGAATTTATTTAAAGCATGATATTCAAAGATATCCCCGGAATTCTGATTTTCAAAAAATACAAAATTTTTGCAAATTTTCAAATGAATCAAAATAACGATTATTGCTATCGCTTCATCTTCGAACTCCGTCAAAAGGACATCCAAATGGATTTTTTAAGCCTTCATTCAGTTAATTCAGAACATTTTCTTCGTTATCATGGGAAAACCAATTTTCAAAAAAATTCGGAAATTAAAAATACTAATGAATGAATTAAACTTTAATTAATTGTGATTGATTGGGTTCAACAATACCTTCATTTAAAAAAAAAGATTCCATTCCATCCATTTCTTAGCGAACAATTGAAGAAAAACTTTTTTACAAAATTCTCGTCTTTATGCTGCTTAAAATTCTGGGATTTTACTGAATTTTCAGTGAAACCTGAAATTTCATTATTTTTATTCCCCGAAATCGCATTCAGTGTCACTGTCCTGAAAATGAGTAGTCAACTGTCCATGAAATTTCATTTCTTTTCTAACGGTGTAAGTTACATGAAAAAATTTAATAAAAAAACTTATCGAATTCATTCGAAAATTCTATTGAACTGTTCTATTAGTTTTTCGCCGATTCTATTGGAATGTTCAATAAAAAATATTCAGTAGAAAAAGTCAATAGAATTTAATTTTTCTATATAACTTATTCTATTGAGATATTTTCTATAGAATTTTCTCGGCTCAAATTTTCCAAGTTTTTTCGTTTGATTTTCTTGATGAGAAGAAAAGAAAAATAGAATAAAAAAAATTAGAAAATTTCAGTCTAGCAAATTCTATAGAAAATATATGAAAAGAATAAGTTATATAGAAAAATCGAATTCTGTCAACTTTTTCTATTGAATTTTTTCTATTGAACATGTCAATATAATCAGCCAAAAACTAATAGAAAGTTTAATAGAAATTCAATAGAATTTTCTAACAAATTCGATAGGTTTTTCTATTAAACTTTTTCGTGCGTATAGGAAAAACAAAGTTGACTCGGTTTATTTGTTCAGGAGAAATCGTTGGACAAATTTCCGTCATATACATATCCACCCACGCACGCACAGACATGCCTTCAAAAAAGTTTCCAAATGACTCACGAGGTCATGAAACGTAGATAAATCACCGAAATTCAATATTTCATTGTCGTGTTCATTACAATAACTTTCTGACCTCCCTTTCGGTCAGGAAGTTAATAATAATTTCTATATTCTACGTATAAAAAAATTTAATAACTCAACTCTGCCCTATAGATAATTCTGTTGAATTTCATTGCCATTTTGCGAAGAAGTCCGTTCGTTTTCTTCGTGATCTTGCCTCAATCTTCGATGTAATGCAAAAATTCAATAGGAAATATTTTATAAAAATAAAAAACTGATAAATTCTCCGAGTTTGTTCGCTTGAATTTTTCCATGGAAGAAGAAATATATAACTGTGAAAAATGTTCAAAAAAGTTCGCCGATGTATGTCCAAAAATTTTTCAATAGAATGAGTTTTAAAGAAAAATTAAAATCGAAAATGTAAAAAAAATTAAAAACATTTTCCTCCCTCAATTCAATGCTTCAAGAATTTCACAAGTAGTTCCCATAATTCATTTCACTACTCGATCCAACACCAAGTTTTTTTTGTATCCATTGGTCAATCTAATCTTTCTAATGTATATTCTGCGGGAATCAAGTTGTTGCAATCATTAGACCTGAGTGAGCGATTGAGGGGGTTGTACGTCACGGCAGCCCTCGCACGCTCGTCAAGTAAGCCCGCGTAGCTGGCACTCAGTCGCAGTGTCGACGATCCACGAAGCGAATTAACACGCCGCGTATTCTTTTCCCTGATACTCTGTACTCGTGGAAGAGCCCCAGTTTATTCTGTGACTGCATCTCCTCTAACAGTCAGTTGATCCGCACAAGTTCCACAATTGTTCAATGATGAAGTTCTTAATTACACTCGTCCTCGTCTTTGCTGGTGTCTACAATGCTGAGGTAATTAATCATTGATCAATTGATAATTAAGTTCGAGGGAATTGTTTTTTTGATTGAAGGGAAGACATTTTGGTGATTTAATTATTTTTTCCTAATTTATTTCATTAATTTCGTTAGTTTTACAAAGAATGACTCAATACATCGATTTCGATGACTTGGGGACGGGTAGCCGAATGAAAATAATTCCTGGGAATCCCCGGACCTTTACTAAGGCTTCGTGTGATGAATTTAATCACTTTATTTCATTCCATGGTCATTTTTTTTAGTCGACTTTGGACATAAACCGCATTTCTTATGTTTGTTTTTATTAATAGATGAATCATGTTGTGAATTATTAGCATTGGAGGGAGGGAGCAGTTAGAGTTATATGAAATTACACAGCAAAAACGAATGTCTCAATTTCAGACACCTTTTGTAGACATTTTTCAGACACTAACAAGCGTCTGAGTAAAATGAAAACGTGTCTGAATTTCAGACGAACCGGTGCCCAAACATCTTAATTCATGTCTGAAATGCAAACAAATTTTCATTTTATTCAGACGTTTTTTAGTGTCTGAAAAATGTCCACAAAAAGTGTGTGAAATTCAGACATTCAGGCTTCCTAGAAAGTGGGAGAAAATGTTTCTACGCTTTATGTTCTCTCCTTGAAAATCCATTCGAATCCATTGAAATTTTAGTTTAGGAATTCCAAGATTCATATTTTTTTAGCCCAGTTCATGACATTCCAATTTTTTTCTAACAATGTGGCAAGAGAATTTGTGGAATAATAGATTATAATTTTTCAAGCTTTTTTCTTCCACAATTATCGTAAATTACACTAACAAACAAGGAACTTGTTTACCTAAAATTTCCAGGCAACACAATATAAAGTTACGGATCAAGTCTTTTTGGACGTAATGATAGACGATCATCCAATAGGTAGGATAGTAATCGGATTATTCGGCGAGGAAGCACCAAAAACTGTGGAGAATTTCCTATCACTTGCCACCAAGGGGATCAATGGCAGAACATATGCAGGGTCCAAGTTCCATCGTGTCATTAAGAAGTTCATGATCCAAGGTACATCGATCTATTTCACAATTTCCCTTCCTTCCTCTCATCGTCAATTCGGTAACGAAATGCCGAAGGGTGCTATTGATACGTCAAAAAAATATTTTTTTCTAATGTGTAAACATCCTGATCATGAGAAGATTGAGAGGAAAACACTGAAAAGCAGTTTTTATAGTAAAAAATCAGAAGGGTTCCGGTGTCATTGAGTAGCGATTGATGTAAGTGGACGTGATCCATTATGGGTCAACCAATAACTTTCCGATAGATTCCTATTTTTCCACTTTATCCGGATAACTATACAACCGCTGAGACGATTTTGCTCAACATACATTTGCACTGAGAATAGTATTTTTCCGTACTGATCTTCACTTTTCCTCGTTCGGGGATTGGTATTAACCCTTCCCAAACTCGTAAAAGTGAAAATCACTACGAAAAAATATCGTTTACGACTAGTGCCATGCGGTTTTTTCACTCGCGTGGTTGGCCAGTCCTCGCCTTCGGCTCGAATGCCAACTCCACGCGAGTAAAAAACCCCATGGCACTCGTCCTGAAATATACTATTTCCGGGCTGCTCCGGTGGAGTTTTTTACTCGTGTGGTTGGCCAGTCTGGCCTTCGGCTCGGACGCCAACGCCGCACGAGTAAAAAAATCCCATCGCAGCAGCCCGGGACAAAATTTTTTTGTAGTGAGTTTCAAGTTTTCGAGTTTGGGAAGTATGCAATGCCAATTCCCAGACGAGAAATCGTGAGAACCAGTACAGAAAAAAAATTACTTCTGCCAACCAAAGACATTTTTCGACCGGTATATTGAACATCTATATTATCCCCTAGGCTATTCTACTCGGTCAACCTTAGATGTTTTTAAGGCATAAATCAGACAGGCACTTGTGTTCGAGTCCGTGTGCCTCTGAATTTTTTAATTTGTGCATTGATAATTATTCCATTATTTCCCTCGTATAGAGGTCCGGAAAGTCGATGGATAGCATATAGCATCCCGCTTTCCAAGTAATTTACTTCTGTCAAGTAAATTTACTTGCCACGAGTTAATGTATATAAATATTTGCATTTGAAATGTGTGCATTTTCTTGTAGTTAGTAAATTTACGTGGCAAAAGTAATTTTTTTTTCTCAGTGTGCATTCAATCAGAATCGAGATACATAAGGATGCATTCATCCCAAAAGAAAACAAATGGGATATTGCGATCGTCACAACATAGTCAATATATTTTTTCTAATAAATTAGCAATTTGCTTCCCAATGGAATTTCTGTAACGAGATATTTTAAATTCAATTCAATGATTCATTTAATTTAACATTACCCCAACGTTGGCAGGCAACATCGCCCTAATGTTAAAATGCTTAAACTTTCCCGGCATATTGGTTTCAAAATAAATTTTTTCAATGACAGATGAAGCAATCAGTGCCATGATTGAACTGCGCATTAATAAAATTTTCCATTCTTCTCTTTCTGTAAGTGTGAATTTTCTCTATTTAAAAAAAAATTGTGCAAAGGTGGAGATATTGATAAGGGAGATGGCAGTGGTTCCATCAGTATCTACGGAAAATACTTCGACGATGAAGACAATGGCATATTACACGCTGGACCTGGTTTTGTCTCCATGGCAAATGCCGGTAAAAATACAAACGGATGTCAGTTCTTCATTACGACAGTCGCTACCCCTTGGCTCGATGGCCACCACACAGTCTTTGGAAAGGTAAATTAGTCCAAGAGATCGATTGAAAATGTAACTTCAATATTACTTCGCAGAGAATTACGAAATATGTTGAACAATAGCACAAATCCCCTTTTGATGATTGTGTAATAGGGAACTTGCATTTTTTTTATTTATTAATCTCAAGTCAATCAAGTAATCCCGGCCTTAAATGATTCGTTTTTCATTTATAAACATGAGAAATGTTGGTCATTAAATGATAATTAATCCTAGATTGATTACCCTATGAGGGAAACACCGCCACGCGTCTTTTTCCTTTAATTACAATTGACTGCCTAACCGAAAAAATTCAAAAAAATTTGACTTTATATCGATTGAAGTATCTAAAAAATTATAGTAGTTTTTAGAGCGACATATTTCCCAAAATTCCTAAAGAAAACAAATTATTTCGAACAGATGAATTATTTTTTCTCATCTTAAATGAAGTTGCCCAATGAGAATAGGAAAAGTAATCAAAATAGCTTTTTAATTCATTTTAAAGGTCATAAAGGGTCAAGACGTTCTCTTCAAGATCGAACAAACGAAGACAGACGCTGAAGACACTCCGCTAACCCCAGTAGTGATCCTGAAGAGTGGAAAAATCCCCACGCCTGAGCCTTTCCAAATCTCCGACAATCCATACGAGTAAATCATCAGAATACGAATCGATTCCTCATTTAATTTTTTCTTAATTATTAATTAGACTAGTCCACTATTCCCAGTGAGAAGTATTCACCTGCGCCTTGCTTGAAACCCGTGTGGAAGTGACAATAACGTAATGACTTGAACGTGAGAAATGATACGAAAGCTTAAAAAATATCATATTTTCTTCATGTATTCAGTGGTATCTCTAGCTAATACAAATTTTTGACAGTGATTTCCGATACATTTTTTGAAAATTTGATAAAGTGACGGTTCCACTGAAATTTGCAGGACTTCACTAAAATGAATTTCAGATTCACAAAAAAGGACGGAGCAGAAGTCAAACTATTATTTTAACCCTAGATTGGTCACCCTATGAGAGAAACCCTGGCGCGCGTCGTTTTTCTTTAATTACAATTGATTGGCTACAATTTGACTTCGTCATTTGAAGTTTCTAAAAAATTATAGTAGTTTTTAGAACAAGATATTTCCCAAAATTCCTAAAGAAAACCAATTATTTCGAACAGATGAATTATTTTTTCCCATGTTACATGAAGTTGTCCATCACGCGATGTTGTCGGAACCTCGCTAAGCGCGCTCGGGCAGTGTAGAGTGGATTCGGCAACGCTGAAGCCTAAATAAAACGGCGGCGAATCCCCGCGGAGCTGACGAGAGTCGCAGGGCCGCGTTTGGTGACCAGACTAGGGTTAAGCTTCAATCACATTTTAATTAGACACACGGAGAGAAAAATACAATAAAAATTACGAGAAAAAAAAGGTAAAAATTACCTTTCGAAACGTAATCCGCGAGCGAAGTAAAATTCAATAAAATGCGTGAGTCGGAACTAAAATTGTACTAATTGCCACGTAAATTCTACGATTTGCTCCGTAAAAATTAACCACCCGTCTGATGACTCACCGCTGTGGAGACAACAAGTCGTTCCGCAATTTTTCCCCAACGATTGAGAAATTTTTCGAAACGGAACGTAGAAATAACTCACGAGCTTCATAAAAATTGTTGAACGTTCAAGAATATTTGATTTTGGAGACATAATAAGTCGGGAAGTTTCTGTAAGATTTTACTTGTTCGGGATAATTACGGGAAAATTATGTGACACTTTCGTTCTTTGTTCGGTGATGAATCTGAGAATTCATTGAACGTGTCAGATTTGTTCTCTTCCATTCCTACAAAAATTGCCGGAAAACGATTCCCCATTGCGGATTACGTCAATTGTTCCGTCATTTTTACTGAATATTATTCTCCGCGCACATCATTTTCATCAATCGCATTGTTTTTGGCAATGGGAATGATTATGAACAATGAATTGAGAAAGAAATATCGAATCTAACGGAAAAAAGCGTGTTGAAAGGGCACCAATATCGCGTCTGCGGTGGCGCTAGATCATGATGGACCGAGATGTAACAGCTGCACAGAGGGCATTGAAAGCCACTGGGCAACCACTTTCGTGATTTGATGCTAAATTGCGTGTCAAACGATTACTGAATTAGATCTAGTTTGTATCAGCTAGAGCCACTGCAACTTATTTGATGTATCCTTTAGACGTAATACTTGTAGAGTATTCATCTAAGTCATTTGTAGAACTTCATAGATTCATGTAACATAATTTGTTATTTCGGTATTTTTGTAATAATTCACTTAAGACTGGATGGTAGATTAAACTTTGCCTAGATGTTTCTCGCTCTACTAGGTGGAGAAAATCAATATCTTTCATTATGTATTTTTCTTAGTGTAGAAGTTTATTTGAGATTGTTTATGGTAATAATATTGTAGTAATAAAGTTATCATTTTCATCAAAATTGTTTTAAACAGTTAATTGGGTTTAATATTTACTGTATTCATTGAATTCTTGTACAGGCACTAAAAGTCCTATAGGATTTCCATTGGAAATTCTTTTAGGTTTTCGTTGCGGATATTAAAAAATCCCGTTGACTTTCCGTGCATTTTTTCAGTTTAAACTAGTTTATAGAAAAAATGAATTGAATTCGATCTTTCTATGTAATTGTCTCTATGGGGATATTTTCTATAGATTTTCTTCTTCAACATAATTTTTTTACCTTTCAGTGACAAAAGTAAACAGAAAAACTCGAAAAATTCAGGCCAAGAAATTTTTTTTGTAGGAAATATCTCAATGAAATAAGTTTTGTAGAAAAATCAATTTCTATTCATTTTTTCTATACAATATTTTTTATTGAGCATGTCTGTTGAAAAAAACCGCGCAGAAATTTGATTTTGTCAATGACAGGTAAAAAAAGGCAGAACGAAAAAATTAAAGAATATATGGTATAGAAATATCAAATTCTATTAATCATTTCTGTAGAATATTTTCTCTTGAAGAGTCATTTGTTTAATAGAATTGGCGAAAAACAGAAGTTCAATAGAATTTTCTAGCAACTGCGCCAGCTATTTCTATGATTTCTTTTCGTACACGTATTCCATAGTTGGTTTGGATTTTCCGTTCTTTTGAGAGCCGAAATGTTTAAACAATGCGAACTGAGTAGTTCCATAATAGGAGAAGTAGAAATGAACATAAAACTTTAGATTATAATCACATAGTATCTCAGAAATGAGGAATGTCAAAGAAAATACCGACAGACAGGATCTGTAGAAGATTTTTGCTGCAAAAATCTTGTGAACGTCCGATTGTCATAGAAATTATAATAATATTTTTTCAGTGTTTGGGGATGGATTCGAGCGACAGCAATTCCTCTATCCTTCAGCTTCGCTATTCTCGCATTTTTTCAGTGGATGATCAAGCAGTTGGACTTTGAGACCCCCAAAATTCCGATGGAAGCTAAAAAAACTGACTGAAGAAAACCCTAAATTTAAGTTTTGTATTGACACTTGAATTGAAAGTATTGAATGAAGAAATAAATAATTATTTTTGGTTTAAAAATTGATTTTTAATACATTTTTTCATTTTCCATTATTGAATCTACTACGGATTTCCAGAAAATAATTCCATTAAATTCTATAAAACAATTAATGTTAAATAATGTTTCCTATATCGACTATTCCTACATATTTTATTTCGAGGACAGTTAATTTTCCTTTGAGGACCCATTTTTGCTGAATTCGTTGGTTTAAAATCTGAATTTCAGATTATTGCACAGTAACAATTGAAGTAACAAAAATTTTGCACTTTCCATGGATGTTCAACGTAGATCGAACAACCTAAACTTATCGTTCCTTAAAGGGAGACTATTATGAGTTTTAAATGTCGTGGGCTATTGGAATGCGATTTCTCATGCATTGAAGATTATATGTCTAAAAATGGATAATTAGTGCAAAAAAACTAATTGTTTATATTTCATTACCCCCGCAAACGCTCAAAATGTTAAAAATGGTCCATGGCCGCCAATTTTTGAGCTACAGTGTTTATTTTTGCAAAATTTTTGGACAAATACGTGCAATAACAATTACGAATTAGTTTTTTGAAATTCAACTCCTACACAGCTAATTTCGTTATTATTTTAATAAAAAATGGCATCATTCATGTAGAAAAGCCCGAAAAATATTTCTGAAATAATCGAGAATATGTTTTTAATATTTTAAGAATAATTTTTCTGCCTATTTTACATGAATGGCGCAAATTTTCGTATTAAACAAAACAAAATTAGTAGTGTAATAGTCAAATTTCAAAAAACTAATTCGTAATTGTTATTGTACACATTTTTTCAAAAATTTAAAAAAAAGCTTTGTGCTTCGGTTTCAATCTTACGATAACAATGATTCGAAATTGTTGAAATATAACGAGATCGATTTTCTTTCTCCTTTTTACGATAGGATTTTAAGTATTTGCAGAGCAAACGAATAATAAAGAATTAATTAATTTCTTTGCCCTAAAATCTATAATGGTCTACAAATCTACAAATCATTTTTTAATGTCATTTTAATAATAAGTAAAATCACACTCTGAATAGCCTTCTAGTCAATAATGGAGCTAAATGTATTTTTCAATATCTCGTTATTAGATGACGCACGGAGAGAAATATTCAATAAAAATTACCAGAAAAAAGACGTAAAAATTACGTTTCGAATAGTAATCTGGGAGCGAAGTAAAATTCAATAAAAAGTACCAATCGTCATGTAAATTCTACGATCTGTTCCGTAAAAATTACTCATCCGTCCGACGCCTCACGGCTAGCCATGAGTCACCGTGAGGGGGAGATTTTAACAACACGTTCCGTAATTTTTCCGGAACTTTTCGTAAAAATTCTTAAACATTCAAGAATTTTCATGTTCTGAGGCATAATAAGTCTTGAAGTTTCTGTTAGATTTTACAACTTCCAGAAAAATTACGTGGCTTTTTCGTATTTTTTCGGCGACAGACCCGAAAATTTACTGAACGTTTCAGATTTATTCTCTTATATTCCTATAGAAATTCACTGAAAACGATTCTCGCTTGCGGATTACGTGAAATGTTCCGTAATTTTTCTTGAATATTTCTCTCCGTGTAGTAAAAACATCAATTTTCACTATTCATTTAATCACACATTATAACAAGCAGTATTGAACCTTAGGCGTTAGCCCATGATCTTTTTGCTCCACCCTTCTGTTAGACCTTTATGAGCGTTATCTGTAGTCAGGGAATACAATTATTTCAGTCCAGATAACTGTGAAAAGTAAGAGAATGTCGAAGAAGCTCCATAAATCAATTTTGAAATGAAAGAATTAAAAAATGAAAAATTGGGAAAAATAAAAAAAAGAAATTAAAAAAAAAAAAATTTCATAGAGCGAACCTGAGTTGCAGTCTAATTTTTTAATATGTTTCGTAAAAATAGTCACTGTGGGTAAGGAAATGAAAAAATATCCAATCAAGGTGGGGGAAGGGAGTACCACACACGATTTTCTGTTTTTTTTTTGCGATTTCAAAGCATTGCCGATTATGTGAGCTAATTGGCACTATGTTTAATTGAAAGAACCGAAAATTTTCGTCGGAAATACCTATTGAAGACCCGAAAAAAATTGACCTGTGCTGAAATACAAAATTTTGTCAAAAACTCACAAAACTCAAAAATTGTTTGGATTGGTAGTGAGGCTAAATTGGTTGTTTTTGTGCACGAGTGCATAAAATTCATGAGCGCGGGTAAACTTGACGCACAACGTGCGGAAAACAACCCCTTTATGCACACTAAATCGTTTCGAAAAGTGCACTTTTCAGGCAATTATCACAAAAAATGTTGGATTGTCCAAATAAATTTTCTAGCCATTAACAATATTCAATGACATTTTCTCCTGAAATCACTCATTTCCAAGATGAATGCAGAATTGACCACCAGTGAATTCATATTCATTTCCTCGTCTTGTTTTCTGAAACTTGTCATCCGCTCACTTTTCCAACAATGGCTGAAAATCATCCCGATCGTATTGATGTCGCTCATGACTTTATTGACCATTGAATAGAGCATGACAGAGTCACCGTGTCCACAAAGGTTTCCCGCTCTGTGCGAAATGGGACCGCGATAATCTCTGAAAAATTCACAGAATATATAGTAAATTGTGTTAGCAGTGCGTGAAATTTCACTTTACGCACTACTAACGAAGCTTTACGCACGACAATTTACTTGACCCATGATTTCTTAACGTTTTTACATTCATTACGACATTACACTTTGCATTCATATTGATTTGCTGGTGGGGTAAGATAATGGGTATAAGTCATCAGCACAACCATCATCGGCTCATTTAGTTATTTTCACTTCGGATAGACTGATCGACGATCAGTTTTGGTGTCAGTTCGACGAAGGTTGAAAGGTGCCTGGTTGTTAGTTTCATCGAAACCAAGATAATTGACAGAATATTATAAATTCAGAAATGTTCCAAGTCAGTATTACCGATTTTACTTCCTTTTTTTAAAACAATTCTACTTAATAATTTGATAGTGAAATCATATAAAACTTTGGTACGTTGTTAAATAATATTGAACTATCTCGATGATGAGTTGTTTGAGAAAAAGAAACGTCGAAAGAGCCATTAAAAAATGTAAAAAATTATAGCGGTGAAAAATATTTTAACAAAAAGTAAACGAAAAAACTTTGAAAAATTTTTTCGTTTACTTTTCCTCGCCTTCGGCTCGGGTGGTAATTCTGCACGTGGGCACGACTCCTTTATTTTCTCTCCCTTGGTGGGAAATATACTATTCTAGCTCATCACGCATGAAAACATTCAATAGAAAACCTAGCGAATTCGCTACAAAATTCTATTGGAATTCTGTAGGAATGTGGGTTTTTTATAGGATTTCTATTGTAATTCTATCGAAAAATTTGATTTTTCGCACACCTGCACGGAAAGTTCGTATTTTTCTCCCGCTCATCAGACAGCAAAATACAAACTTTTCTTTGCAGGCGTGTTAAAAAATAGCATGTGCACCTCGGGCGGGAAAACATGACTTTCCGCCCTTGATGCACAATATACTATTGTTTTTTGCGCTGATTCTATTGGAGATTCAGTAAAAAACAGTCAATAGCGTTCGAATTTCTGTTTGAATTTTTCTATTAAATTTTTTCTACTACAATTATTGGGCACAATTATTGGGCAGAAAATCGCCAATTTGTAAAATCCGGAAGATATCGGAGAACATTTTGTCAAGGTCATATGTAGCATAATAATCAGATTGTTCAACATCACTGTAATTTTTGAGGATAGACTTGGACTCTCTGAAAATGACTGTCCTGGAAAAATTCGTTCTGAAAAAATATTATCTTCTGACGAGAATATCAATCCTTGGCAGGAATAATTTTTTCTCTCAGTGTGATATTCAAAAGAGTTCTTTTCGGCCCAATGACAAAATGTGCAATTTTACCACCTCTGATCTCACAAATTTGTCATCCACTTACTTTTCCAGGAACTCCTGAAAATCCTGGTCACATTGATGCTGCTCACGGCGGTTGTGGCTTTACCACAATACGACGATATGCCCTGTCCCCAGCGCTACCTGGACTGCGGACAATAAGAGCCTCTAAAAAACTATCGCGACAGAGGCTGGTGGTACGAGGAAAACAACGGAAAATTCTCAAAAAGTAGTAATGACTTCGTAGACCTGAGTACACGACTCGAGCATAAAAAAAATAGAAAATAATAAGATCGACGTACGGAGATGATTTCTTTTTACAAAATTTCAAAATTTCCGACCAATTCCGGAATATTGCATGAAATGTAAAGGACAATACGAAGAAATTTAATAAATTTGAATTTTTTCCATTTGGTTTAAACTATTCTTTTCTGCGAACGTTCACTCGGCGAAAAAATTCGATTGCCGAAAGTCAACTTTACCCCTGGAAAAATCCAAGATCTATTCTGACAGTTTGGCCCCAGGTGAAAAAAAAAATTTCTATTTCGACATTTCTGGGGCCTCCGAGTGTGCGTAAAAAATTCGCCCAAAATTGATGTTTACCATTCAAAAGATCGTCGTGATTGATTTATCCACAATAAGAAGTAATTATTTTCTACAGTATGTATGTTATAAATGATAAGTGAACCAGTCCAGTCTATTGTTTTTATTAAATAGAAATTTTTAATTTGTTTTTTATTTAAATTTTTAAGAATTATTGCAGCTAACGGAAAATATTCGATATATTTTTTTCATCACGTTGTGACGAAAAGTGAACTTTGTTTGATTCAGCTAATTATACACGGAAAAAAAATATTCTCGAATCGGGTATATAATAGAATCAGGAATATTATATTCCGGAATCCAGAGACATCCCCAAGAGTTTGGCGACTTTTCCAAGGGTAAAGGGAGTATCGTGAGATAATTTCCAATAACAAACTTTTGGTTGTCCGGAGTATTTAGTACACGGAAGAAAAAAAAAACAACCCGAGAACTCACGTTTCAATGATAAGTACTGCTGGTGAGTTGAATTTTGAATCTCGAAACATGGT